TAATGAGTAATTGAACTGTGGTCAGAGAGAGACGTATTGTTGAAGTTAACGTTCGTTCGTTATAGTGTTTGTTATAGCGCGACTGTTGAAAATACGTGTATCGTAAAGTTGTATTCGGAAAGAATAAACCAGTTTTATTAAGTAAGGACTTGTGTCGCTAAAGTTACGTCGGAACGAAGTTACGGAAGGTTAATTAACAAACGGAGACGTAACAATACTATAAACTTCAATCTTAAATGGTTTAATATGACAGTTCTAATAACATCAGTTTCCTTAAACTAAATGCTTTAACTTCATATTGTTATACATTTCAGGCTGATTATGTTAAGTGTTTTAATTTGATAACACTAAATAGTTTAGTTTAGTCTGACTATGCACTGTATTTCAGTCTCATGACACTGAACATTTCAGTACGATTGTTATAAATGTTTTCATATCTCAATAATATACTCTTCAATTTTATTAATAGATTAATCAATAATTTAATTAAGAGATATTTCAGTCAGTTTCTGAAAGATTTCTTAGCGTCAAAATTTAAGCTTTGTTCTTAATATTATATACTTCATTTTGATCGCGCTGCAGTTTCTACTTTCATAACATTGGACTCTTCATACAGTTAGTGTTTTATACTCATTGTAATAGACATTTCGGTTCGTTTTAGTCATAGTTTAGTTTAATGATAATAGACATTTCAGTGTGATTATGCTAAATTTTTGAGTTTCTAACAGTTGTTTGTGGACTTATGATTAAACCCTACATCTCCTAAACAGGCCGAAACTCTAAAAATAATATTAGGATTACGACTGAAAATATCGTTAACAGCGAGTATTACCAGGTGATGAATTACCAATGCATTTTAATCTTTATAGGTTTTTGGCTTTCTTTTTGTTGTTTTTTTTTGTTGTTGTTGTTGTTGTTTTGATTAATTGGCTTAATTAACTTATACGTTGCTTTTAGTTCCGATCTACAAAGTTCGCTTTCTTTAAATCACAAGTTGTTATTAATTTTAATGTGATATCACAATCTCTCTCATTCTAGAGATGATTGATGTGATAATAGTGTCCCCCGATGGGACAGCGGTAAGAAGACAGACTTACAACGCTAAAATCCGAAGTCGATTCCCCACGGGGGACACAGCATAATTGGGCTTTGCTCTAAAACAAACAAACAAATTATGATAACAGTTAGTACTTTAATGTGACATCACACTTCATTCTTTGCATCTTAATGTTATCCTACCAGGAGATTTGGAGTAAAAAAATATCACTAAATAAGAAATTTGATTTACAAAACTTAATTTATTTGGACGTTTCGTTAATACCCCCCAGCGGTATGTCCACGGAGTTACAACGCTATAATCCGGGTTTCAATACCCGTGCTGGGCAGAGCACAGATAACCCATTGTGTAGTTTTGTGCTTAATTACAAACAAACAAACGTTTCGTTAAATTCATTGTTATATTATCTGTTTTATTTCATATTGGTCATTTACTGATCAAAATCGTCACGTAGTTACCCCACGTAGACAAGTATTTTTTTACCAAACTTCACCCATCACACAAAATATTGTCGTCATCGGTGGCTCAACGCTAAACTTGAAGTATATCACACTAAAATTTGGGTTTCGATCTCTGAAGTGGGCATCAGTACAAATGGTTCAGTATACCATTAAAAACAAACATAATAACGTTCAACATAATTATTGTATGCATTTATTTATCGAAACATTTCCATCTAGACATTACCTGAAAGCCTCTCGCTATTAAATAGCCGGTGTGTATTTTACGGGACTATAACATAAAAAAATATATTCATTATACAAATTAATAAATAAATAACGTTTCTGTCACGCGCTGACTATCAATTTGTACAGGTATGTGGGAGAACGAGGATTTGAGAGAAGTTGTCAATCTGACGTCACATCGGGCAAGTTCCAAACAACTGATAGCAGCAGGTGACCAAGAAGGTTTCGTACGCTTATTTAGATATCCTTGTCCAAGTACTAAGGTATGTATTTTAAATAAGGAAAAAACTTCAACATGTTCCTGTTCCGAGAAAAGTATTTCTTCTATAACGATGATTCAATTCTATACCAAGGAGATTACTTCTTGTAAACGAAATACTACATTTGATATTTCATTTACAGAAACACCCCGTCCCAATATCACAGTAATATTCCTTTTATAAATATAACCCGTCCCAATATCTTAGTAATATTTTTTATAAAAATAAATATGTCTCAAACCGCAATTAATATTTTTTTTGCAAAACAAACCATGTCTCAAAACCAAAATTATATTTATTTAGAAAAAAAAGCCTGTCAAAAAAATCTAAGTTAATATTAAGTTAGTC